TAATAATATAATTTTTTTATAAAGATAATAATTATTTATTTTGTTGGAATCGATAATTATTCTAATTATATTTTAGATTTTTTATATTTTAAAATTAGATGTTCATCCTCTATTTGATTATGTTTATCCGCAGTTAATTATACAAATTCAAACATCGAGCTTTAATAAGTTGTACTTATGCATAATTACTTGTAATCTTGAATTTTAAGTAATATGTATCAATATACAGTACTTTATGCACAACAAAAATATATCGATATTCGTATCAAATTAACTATTTAAAATTCCTCATTTTTGTGTAATTTTTTAATTCAATTTTTTATTATAATTTAATTTAGGTACAATAACGATTTAATTTATATTTGGTTTGATAATATAATTTTTTATAAAGATAATAATTAATTATTTTGTTAGAACTCGATAATTATCCTAATTGTATTTTTAGATTTTTTATATTTTAAAATAAGATGTTTATCCTCTATTTGATTATATTTATCCGCAATTAGTTATACGAATTCAAAAATCGAGTTTTACTAAGTTGTACTTTTGCATAATTTACTTGTAATCTTAAATTTTAAGTAAATATTGGTTTTAAGTGGTTTTGAGAAAGTGGTAATATTTTTGTTTTTGAATAAAATATCATAAAATTTTGAAAAAAAATATCGATATCAATATTAAATTAATCTTTTTAAAAGTTCTTGTGTTTTGGTGTAATTTTCTTAATTAAATTCTGTTAGTTATCAATGATTACTATAATTATATTTTAGATTTTTTATATTTAAAATGAGATATTCATCCAATATTTGATTATGTTTATCTACAKTTAGTTAGACGAATTCAAGTATGAAGCTTTAATAAGTTGTACTTATGCATAATTTACTTGTAATCTTAAATTTGAAGTAATATGCATTAATAAACAATACTTCGTGCATAAAAAATTATTTTTAAGAGTTTTTGTCAAATGTTTTATAATATAGTATAGATAGTATAGATTATGTGTTTTTTTTTTAAAA